CACAGATAGCCCATTGTGCAGCTTTTGTGCTTAATTAAAAACAAACAAAAACAAACAAACAATGTTAGGGCAAACAATAGGAATTATCGTCTTCTGAATCTTTAGCTCTGGATAATTCGATTAGGGAAAAATCACATATGGTTCTAGATCTAGAATGTTAACACCAGGGAATATTGGTAGCACAGAATCAGATATGGTTCTAGGTCTAGAATGTTAACACCAGGGAATATCGGTAGCACAGAATCAGATACGGGTTAGAGATTTGGAGTCTTGAATCTCGCGAATATTAATAGTCGTCCAAAATCAAGTATAGAGCTTCAAAAGTGAAATATTGATAACAGAAATCTAAATCTGAAAAATTAACGCTAAGAAATATTAGCAAACTAGAGACGGGTCAGGAGTTTAGTGGTAAGAAACAAATTGAGTTTTAGCTTTGGAAAATAAAAACATCTGCTAGTGTATAATAATTACTGTAACGTTATTGATTCATGACGGTACACGTAAAGTTACATATAAACATTTACATTTTTGGCTGTTTGTAGTTAAGCACAAAGCTATACAATGGATATTGAAACCCAGTTTTAGCATTATAAGTCTTAAGTCTTACCGCTGAGTCACTAGGGGGCGAGGTATTGTGCAAGAAAATATTAGACTACTTCAGTAGAATGTTAAATGTGAGTTGTTCTTATTCTGAATGTGTGTGTGTGTGAATTGAATTTGGGGGATAATTACTTTGAAAGAACAAGTTTCTATAATTAATACTTGAAATCGTCGGTACTTGGTGTACCTGACGATGCCCTTACCGTCGAAACCATGGTTGCAATAAATGAAATATTTGTGAAACGTAAAACTGTCTTTGTTTCCCCAGTTCTGTAACAAATTTCTACTTCATTATAAAACTGCATACTTAATATTAATAACATATTTGCGTTGATTCAATTATCTCTGTAATAATGGTTTGGCGGCAAGTGGCATGCAGGACCTTTAAAGACATAGATTAAATTTAACCGTTTTATGTTCCAAAAGTTCTTGTTCGTTGCATGTGCAATAATGATTTTAATTATTATGTACCATGACGGAACAAGTAAAGTGTCATATATATATATATTATGTTTTAATAATGACACAGGTATCAAGGTATAAAATATAACAATTAAATTAAAATATCACAATAAATTGTTTGCAAGTTTCTTCATGATAAATTTAAGATCATGTACAGGCTGGGCCAAAAGTCACCTATTCTTTGTTTTACTTAGAGAGTATAGGCGTCCTTAAAGGATGCAAGGTTTCATAATTAAACCTTTGATTCTCAGGGGTGGTTCTTGCAATTTATTGATAATCCCAACTATTTTTTGCTTACAACTTCAAAATAATTGCTACAACAGTAGATGAGAAAACATGCACATCAAAGTAGGTTTAGTCATATGGGAAAGAGAACCAAACTTAAACAGGAATGCCATGTCCACCATCAAAGTAGGTTTAGTCATATGGGAAAGAGAACCAAACTTAAACAGGAATGCCATGTCCACACTTTTTAACAATATGGATTTGTGGTGGTTTCATTTTACTTTTTACAGTGAAATTAAAAGTGATGTATAGTTTGTCAAGTCTGGGATCTCAATAAATAGTTGTTTTCACTCTGTGATAGTCGGTGGTTTCCAATAAACATATGTTATCCTGTCATTTTGAAAATAAAATAACACAAACTTGGGTTGTTTCATTAATTCCCAAATACCTCTACACCAATAAATCCAATAATGAAGAAAGTAGAAACTGCTGAATTACCTACATTACGTGTCAGCATAATTGTAAAAATAGAAAGTTTTTATCTATACTTGATACACATTATACGGCGTATGATAGTAAAGAATTTAGCTAGTATATAATCCGAATTCACTTGTGACACAATTTCAATTCTTTCTATACCCTGAATGACTAAATCATGATAATATTCTAGTAAAACTTTGATAACTATTGTTAAATATACACGTACAGTTTTTGCAACACCAAAAGGTTTTCATATTAAAGACACTGACTGGTTCTGAAATGAAACGTCGCTACACTTTTAACATTTAATTAAAACGTACAATTTTTAAAAAATATATAAATTTAGTATTGCTTATGTTTTTTCTATTTTCGCCGTCTATAGGTTTTTATGTAAAACAGCGTTCTGTAACATCAATATAATTTTATCTAATAAATCGTCAGCTTTCAAGAAAGAACCAAAGTCAATACTTATATTTTTCTGTAAAATTTGGCTAAGTAAAGTTAGATCAGAAACTAAATTTTTGCCCTCTATGTACCCAAACGTTATCATCCAAATGTAAATAACTGTATTACAGCTGTGTAAGTCAACTGAAACTTAAGATAATTTTTTGAAGAATGTCATATAGAGATTAAAATTAATTACCCCCCCCCCGTGGCTCAGCCTTAATGTTCTGGACTCATAACGCTAAAATTCAGAGTTCGGTCCCTACGGGTGGCAAAGCACTGATAGCTCATTGTGCATCGTTGTGCTCGAAACAAACAAACAAACTTATAGCAAAAAATCTAAACTATAAGACAGTTTTGAAATAAGCACACTTTTGGCCGAATGCTTTTATTCTCAAAGTTCGGTCACTGCTTCGGTTATACATTCTCAGCCATTATCTATGGGTTCTTTTGACTCAAACACACGCACACATATATACACAAAGCATTTACACACACACAGACATAGGAGATAAACGCGATAAATTATAAGGAGGCCAGAAAAAAGCAAGACTGCATCTCGAATGAACTAAATTGAGATTATATTAGATTCTGTCATGCTTAGCACCAGGATACCTTTGTCACGAAACCTTTCCAGTCATATACCTATTATATGTGAAGCAGCAAAACACAAAATTACTGGAGATGCGAGGTCTGTTATTATATGCACAGAACGGAATTAATTTATCATCTTTATTCAATGGTAACTGTATGTTACGCTATAGGTTTTCATACCAAGTCTGATTCTTTCAAACAACAGTTTATTATTAACCATATATATATATATATATATATGTACGAAATCATTTAGCGTATTTACTTCTTGATAAAAACATAGTAACGTAATAAAAATAAATCAAATATGATTGCGGTATAATATACGGCATCTAACTTGTTTTCCACAGTTTTCACGCTTAAAGAGAGAGAGATTTTCCTTTTTTTGAAACAACATATTAAACGAATAGAGAAATGGGTTTTCTAAAATAATCATTTTTTAACGAGAAAAATGTGCAATTACATCTTATTTACGTCTAAGCGGAGTATATGACAACGTTATTTATCAAACTTTTACATAAACACATGATCTTAAAACTCAAGTTTTGGAAAATGGAAAGGTATTTTAATTGAAATCTAAACGATTTTTCAAGTTTATTTCCTGTTTTCCTGAACTTAAATAATCAATACCAGATTTTCTATAATTTGAGAACAATTTTAGGCTACTTATAATCAATAACAAACGATTTTAGGATAATTATTTGCTATTCTTCAAAGCAAGCACGTGGTTAGGAAGCTTGTAAATGGAGTAACACACGCGTATGCAGCACACAATATGCATGTTTTTTCAGATTAATTTCAACATTCTGCCATTAATTTTTTTGTCGAACAAGATAAGTTGAATTTAGAAATAATCTGATTCAAATTTTATTATTTAGTGACACTTGACTTAGATATTTGTTACTGAACTTATTCAAATCAGAATCGTTCGATCAGTTTTTGACAAGTATTGATGAAAAAACATGCAAAAATGAATGGCATTTCTATGTTTAAAGATGTTTCAAAGTATTTTTATTAATCTGTTTTGAAAATATATATAGGATTTCAAGTTCTAGCTATCGTTATCCTTTCTTATGTACTCCAGTTCACGATCAGCCATCTCATGTACATAAGTATTCATTGTTGGCTATTTCTACGAAATTACATATACTAGACATCTTGGCCTATAATATGACATTTTACACTTTCATTTGTAGGCGCATTATAAGAGTGACAGGCAAACCCACTATTTGGTTAAGAGTAACCGTCTAGAAGACGGGTGATCTTTTATGGTTGCCCTCCATAAGGTCAACAGCTCAAATTAGGAATATCACATAAAATGTAGCTCAAGTTGAAAATACCAAATATCATCCACAGATATTGCCAGCTACTTTCTATACACTCATATTTCTCTTATGTAGTTTCAGATACTGTAAGCTGTTTCCTATGTGTTTCCACATACTTTAGGGCATAAGCTCAAATATTTCGATTGTTAGCTCTAGTCTTCTCTCAGGCACATTTATTCATCTTTTTTTTCTACTACCTCATCCGCTCTATGTTGTAAAGTATAATCTGCCATATTTCTCATAAATAATATCAGACAGAGTCACTAATCGCGGGGATGTTATAATGTGACGGTTAATCCCATTGTTTGATGGTAAAAGAGCAGCCAAAGAGTTGGAAACAAATGCTGTCGGCTAAGTTGTCTTCTCTTTGTTCGGCAGTTAGAAATTAGAGATGACAACTACTAGGCTTAGTAGCTTTTCCATAAACAAAACAATCTTTGTTGCACTCCCATAAATTTCCACCCATTTCCTATCAACATCTGTACGTACAAGAAAAATTAAATTAATAATAAATATCTATCCACATCTGTACGTACAAGAAAAATTAAATTAAATAAACTAAACTTTTAAAGGTGGGCTGTAACTAACGTTCACTGAACTGCACTCTAAAAGTTATCAACCTGAATTTACTGTTTAAATATATAAGAATAAGCTATAGAAAAGAAAAAGAGACGCAGATCACAAAAACAGGCTTGAAATTAAAGCATGTAAGTAGAAGTTATATAGAAGAATTATATAGTAATAAAACATACAAGATCTGAATATAGAATATCTTTAGTTTCAAGATTTTATATAGAAGAATCATATAATAATAGAACATACAAGATCTGAACATAAAACATCTTTAGTTTCAAGATTTATTTGAAAGTTTAAATTTACACTCACAGCACTAAGAAAATTTGAAAGTGAAAGATAACGTATATATTGTCAATTAATTTCAGGATCAACTGATTGACAAGTTTTGAGTTTTGGATACGTACCTATTACTTTAAATTGTACTTTCAAAACTTTGTAATTTTCAACTTCGTCGTTTCAAAATACACATGAAACTTCCTAGACCAAAAACCTGTAAGCAAACATAAATATATTGGTTTTGTTCCTTTTTACCAATATTCAGAAAATATTAATTATATATATGTATATATATTGTCAGAAAAATTCCCGTGTATAATTTAACATTCTAAATGATTCACTCTTCATCAATAGGTTTCGAATATGATTAACTTGATGTATTAAAAAGGAATTAAATATTATTATAATGAAGTTAAAAGTAAAATTTGCCTGCATAAATATTTTTGTGTTAATAAAGAACTATAACTTGTTATATAATAACACATTCAGAATCACTCAGAGGGAAATACTAGACGAATAAAGAGTTTAAGGACAATGTATTTTAGGAGACCAATGAAAGGATGAAACATAATATTTAATAAAAATATATATTTATGTTAAAATATTAAATGAGAGAGAAATCAACTAAAAGAATGAGCTGTTTTAGAAACTGGTCGTTATGGGCGAAACGACGGTAATAATAAATGTAATATTTGTGAAACATACAACTGTTTTTCCTCCATTCTGTAAACTTCACAAATTGCCTAAAAGAATGAAAAATAGTAGAACCATAAATAGTTTAGGATACTGATACATTAAAACTTAAATATTACCTTGAGATTGACACACACATTTATATGTATATAGGTTTAGCTAAGAGAACATAAATTGTAAAAAACAACAACAACAACTGATATTCGGAAGACTTGAGAAACAAGAAATTCACGTAAATGAAAACGAGGATAGCATTAAAACTTTCGAAAGCGAATTTTTAGCATTAGGAATGAACAATATTTAATACATCACGTTATAAAATATTCTTTACTTAACAACATATATGCATACAGAAAATAATTTGTCTATCTACATATAAACGGTGATAATAAGTCTAACAAGATTATGTTGGAGGATCTTAGTAAAGTGTTAGTTTAGGAGGTTTAAATGTCCTGTAAAATATAACAGTTTAGAATTTTGAAAAAAATAAATTATAACTACGAGATTATAATTCGCACATTCTCTTTAATTGTTAAGTTAAATATAGTCTTAGAAATGTGTCTATGCATGACTCCTCATTCCTCCACCTGCTGTTATCCTAGTCATATCTTAAGGTTCATCTTTCGGAAAAGTCTGTTAAAGCGTAATGTTATTTACTACTGAAACATGTAAACATGATGATGTAGTAGCAAGAGGTTTTACATTTTGTTTACATTAACTCAACGTAAATTCTATGGCATACATAACTCTTCTCATAGGGATAATCCTAATTCTCCAAATAATAAAGCTTATGATTTGACATATAATCTCTCCCCCCCCCAGTGGCACAGCGATATGTCTGCGGAGTTACAACGCTAGAATCCGGGTTTCGATACCCGTGGTGGGCAGAGCACAGATAGCCGATTGTGTAGCTTTGTGCTTAATTACAAACAAACATTGACATATAATTATAAACAAAGTCCGACATTGTTAACTTGTTATGAATTAATGTGTAAAACATTTTTTTTTCCTTCACAAAGTTTTATTATAAACATTTTCGAGGCAAAAATTGTCATTTCTACTCACAATAAACGTGTGAATGATATTTTTTTTCAGTAACTTCAATGGTACAAACAAGATGGATACCATAATTAAGTAAGATGAAATGAGAAAGATATCATACCCAGAACAATCTTAACAAAGAACGTGGTGGAACGTCGTATTTCTGATTGACAGTATTTGTGTTCTAGGTGCATTTCCTTTAAGAACATCTAGAGGATTTTTATATGTATTTTTAATAATTGAAGCTTGTAACTTGACATTTACATTTCTGACATACGTTCTTTAAAAGAAGCAACTGAGATTGTGACAAACATACTTTATACGTATGTAAATGTATTATTGAAAAGTTTCATCAAGGATAATATCCCAGTATTTGAAAATTGAGGTTTAGGGAAACCTCATTAAACTACCTGACCCAACAAAATTAAAATACAAGTTTAAGAAATGCACAGAAAGTTTTGTGTGAATTAGAAATTATAAATTTTGTATCTAATAATATAAAAAGTAACTTAAAATCTGAAGTAATGCGTGCAAAAGGTTAACAGAATTACAGATATATGTGCTTATGATCTACGAAAACAGACAGCAGTTGTCTCGGCAAGCTGAAGAGTCTTATTTGGCTCATTTCTGACCATACGGTAAGATAGACTGCGATTACTTAAACCAAGAATAATAAAAAAAAGAAAGCTACATTTCTTCTTTCTTTCTTTTCGAGAAGTTAACCCGTAATATCTAAGATAGAAGAAAAGAAAGAAAGAGAGAATTATGCAGATGTATAAAATTGTTTAGGAAACAGAGCAACGTTACAGAAATATCTTCCATGCTTAAAGAGGACAGCTAATACACCGAGAATTGATGTATTCTCACAAAAAATTCTTTAACAAAAAAGACTGCCGTTTGACTCTTTCAACACTGAATTTTCTCACGTAACAACTCTTAAAAAGAATGAAAGAAAAGAAAACCAATCGAAGGAAACTTGATAATTATTGGTTGGTAATAGATAGAACTTACATTACAGTAGCTTCTAATAAACGTGTCAGACTACATCGACTTCCAATCAACGTTTTCCAACCAAACCAAATAAACACCAAATCTTCTAAGAAAACTAAAATAACTCCATTAGATTGCCAATTATCAAAAAATGGATGTTGCCCAGATTCTTATATAGGATTGTCAGTTGGAATTAGCATTCGTGTAAGAATGACAGGTTAGAGCAACGTTTTTGTACGCTTTTTGGAAAAGAACAGCTTTCTTGTAGGATATCGAATTTTCACTTCAAATAGCGTTCTTATGAGACTTTAGGATTAAAGCAACATTCTTGCACGCTTTTTCAGCAGATAGCAGCATTTTAGTATGATGCCATATTATGACAGCGTTATTGTACAATTGTCGAGTTTTTTCTTCTTTTACGTTTCAGCCTTGGTAGCAAAATAACCAGACACTTTACTTGACAAAATATCAGTTGTTGTGTTGAGTACTTGAAAACATTTGTAATGGTTTATAACTATGTTCATATTGTCATTCACATGTTTACTGGTACTCAAAAGTTTTTGTACTTATATTTGTCGCCGCCCCTAATTTTGAACTACTGACCAGAGAGAAGGCAGCCAGTCAGCAGCACCCTACTACTCGATAATCAGGGACTGACTGTCACTCTTATAATGCACCCACAGCTTCAAGTGTGGAAAATATTTTTTAATATCGCCGGATTTGAAACCGGTTCGCCAGCTTCGACATCTAGAGTCTACTACACGGCCAACTGTTCCAGAAGACTGTGTGTAGTAAAGTGAACTTACTTTACAAGAAAAAATAAACGTTTATGTCCAGCGGAGGGGGGGAGGAACGCCCAAACCATTCATGAAAATAACATCCGCATTTATTTCTACACAATAACAAAACAATGACAAGTAAAGCAACCAAACCTAAACAAATAAATTACCTAAGTTTATTGATCTAGTTTACAGTAAGTAGTGTTGTACTTCTCCTTATAAATATTTAGTATTAACCTTTAATAAAGAAAGTTGTAGGCTGTAATAAGTTAATCCCCACCTTATTAAACATATTTCATGAAGACTCCAGCATGTTCTTGTTGCTACTCATTTTATGAGCTTCATTTATGATAAATAATATGAGTTCTAAACTTGAGGACCGACACACTAACTTGAATAGAGTTAGGCAACATTTGCCCCCAGTGGCGCAACGGTATGTCTGCGGACTTATAACGCTAGAATCCTGGTTTTGATACCCGTGGTGGGTAGAGCACAGATAGCTCATTGTGTAGCTTTACGCTTGACTACAAACAAACTAAGGCCACATTTGATTTTGCAAATCAAATGAACGATGTTAAGATTTTATAGTTATGCTCTACTAAGGTATTGGTATTTGTTGCTGAGGTCTTCATTTGTTGGATTGTATTGGCTTGAAAGAATCAAATTAATATCTCAACATCATATTGTATACTTTGTTTTCCTTATATGGTTAGTTGCTGTCAAAATGTAAAGGTGATACATAAACAAAGACTACACTGGAAAACTTCCTAACACTGAAAAGCCTGGTTTACCTGAGTGTACTTAATGGCTACCGTGCTCGAACTGTGAATCCGAGAACCGAAGTCTCGTTGCTCATTGTCACAGAACGTACTTTGTACTTTGGAGTACACTCACTAGAAGAGTTACATTCAAATCCCATTATTCGGTCAGTCAAGAGTAGCTCAAGATTTGGCAGTAGAGGCTGTTGACTAGTTGCCATCTATCAGTTCAAAATTAGGAACAGCTACTGTTATGCATATTCCCTAAAAAAAAAAAAAAAAAACTTGGAAATTACAGTCAATCGAATTACGCTTTCGTGTTCATGTATTTTTTCACACCACCATCTGGACGGACATTCACACAGATGATCAAACCTTCAAAAGATGTTGCCAGTAAGATCCAGTAGTGCATTTGAACATCAAGGCCAAAGAATACTGGCTTAGAAAATAAACATATAAATATATAACATTTGTATTTCTCGACTACGCTTGAGAACGTTATTTATCAAAAGCATACTGGAAGAAATCATTACGCTTGTGTTTATTTACTTGCTATATATTATTATTACGTCAAAACCTTCTAACGAGTAAGAGTAAGTAAGGATACAAAATTATATATATATGTGTGTGTATAATATATATAATTCATCAATGCTTGTGGAATAGCAGAGGTTGAGTTAAATAACATAAAAATGTAACATAACATTAAGAGGAGAAGATTTTATGTAACAAGACAATTTTTAAGACAATTCTTTCTTTTTTTCACTTACTAGGTTATAGAGTATTCAAAACCGCCAGAAAAATTAGATATAATTTGCCTTATCTGAAACAGAAAATGTACAATTTTAATTAACTTCTTAGTTAAAAACCTCAAAAGGACATAACGAAGGAACTGAATATACCAGCAATAGCCATAAACGATGGGTGTATATATTTAACAGAATTATTTAACT